GGGCCGTCGGGGGCCAGCGGCGGGGCTGGCGGCGGGCTGGCGGCGGGGGCGGCGGCGGGGCCGGCGGCGGGGCCGGCGGCGGGGGCGGCGGCCGGGGCGGCGGCGGGGGCACCGGCGCCGGGGACGGCGCTCCTCGGCCTTTGGCTCCTCCCCGCCCACTGCTTCCGCCTCCTCCTCCTCTCCCTTTCCTCCTCCTCCTCCTTCTTCCTCCTTCCTCCTCCCTCCTCGTTCTCCTAGCTCCTCCTCCTTCTCCTCCTCCTCCTCATCCTCTTCTTCTTTCTCCGTTCCTCCATCTCTCTCCTCCTCCCCTCCTCTTCCCCTCCCGGCAGTCGACAGGCGTCCTCCTCGCCTCCCCCCCACCGCAGGCAGCACTCCAGAGGGCCCTCGAGGCTGCGGCGGGCCTACAGCCGCCGGAGCCGCAGGCGCGTCGGCGCCCCCCGTCCGCTGGCGGGCATCGAGGTGTCGAGGGCGTCGTCAGGGTCGGGGACCGGGGGCATGTCAGGCATGGAGAGGATAGGCTCAAAGGGGGGATACAAGCGGCCCGGATGAGCAGGTCGACCCTGCCAAATCCAGGGTACCCTTGTGTCCTGTGTCTCGCGACCCATTCCTCCTACATTCCTGTGGCAATGTGGGCCTCGGAAGGGTCTTGTGTCCTCTCGCGTGTCCTGCGCAATCGAGTACGACTGCAGTCGCAGGGAAGTGGCGGGGACGAAGTTTCGATGGTCGAAGTTTCCGGTGGCGTTCGTCATGTCTCGGCGGCGTTCAAGCCTCGGGATGCCTTCCAGTGGCTGCGCCTCGCCGCGATGGTTTCAGGGATGCCCGAATCGTCCCGAACAGCCGCCAGAGAGCAGAATGATGTCCAGAGAGCCAACCAGAGGGCAGGAATGGGCTCAGGGTGACCGTTAAGAGGGGCATGGGCACGGTCGGCACCTTTGACTCAGCTGCGCCCGGCGCCGGCGTTCAGTCCCCCGAGCGTCAGCGTCTCGAGTTGTTCCGAGCCCCCCGCCCCGCGGAGCGGAGCAACACGCCACTCGCTGGCAAGGCACAGCGTGTGGCCAGGGCCGCCGCCGTGACATGTTGCGGAGAAAGCTCTTCATCCTAAACTCAGGTGGGGGGGGGGCGCATCGGCCCCCGAGCGCCCAGTCATCGCCGATAGGGGCCTGATAGCCAACCCCGCACTCTAGCCCAGGCGCTGCGCACGAGCTTCGGAAGCGCCGCCTAGGAGCTGCCCGGTCGCGGTCACGTCACCAGGAAACGCTGCCTGGGAGCTAAGCGCGAGCCTGAAGAGCGCTGTTTGGAAGCTGCCTGGGACCTGCGCGGGAGCTCAAGCAGCGCTGCGCAGGAACTGTGCCCAGCAGCCGTGGCAGTATACAACTGGCATTGCCCAGCCTGCCAACTTCTTCCCTGAAACATTTCATTACTCTCAAGTGATGATGTGCCAACCTGCCTTAGCCTTGACCACAAGAAATAATTCCGAGCACCAAGAAAATACCGAACATCCTGGGTTCGACTGGGAGGCGATACTCGTTCGACACTGTTTCGACACTGTTTCGATACTTTCCTGGGTGCTCGAAATTATTTCTGGGATGCGTTCCTCAAGTGCGATGGGAGCAACATAACTCAAGAAACTATCCTCGAGTTTGTGCTTGCCCCGGGGCCCAATACCGGGACGACGTCTATGAACAAAAACGCCCAGGACTCACAACGTCGTATGTCGTCGGAGGCTTGGGTCCCCCATTGTCCGTTGCCTCCAGCTCGGGCGGGCAGAACCTTGGCTACGGAGCAAGGCTTTGGCGCCTACGGGGCTTGATATCTGACGTTTCGAAAAGTTGCAACATCGTGGAAAATCGCGACCGGAACTGTGGACCCCATTTTTTTGCGCTTGTCTTCGAACTGGATCGATATGTGAGGTTCCCACTGCGCGAGAACCCACTCCAAGACGTCCGGCCCGCACAACCCTTGACGCCAGGGTCTCAGGGGAGCCTTGCATTCCCAGACCCCCGACGTCGTGCTTTTTGCATGACGTGACCCCCAGGAGTCTGGAGCCCTTCCCGGGGACCGGCTTGTCCTCCTGAGTCATGTTCTTTGACCGTCCAGGGTCCCGGCGAGGGCCCCTGAAGGCCGAAAATCGTGCAGAACCTCCCGTCGTGATTTGTGTCCACAGCGCGAGGAGGTCTGTGTCCCCGCCGCGCGCCGCAGCCGTGGCGCGGGGCCCGGGCGCCCCCGGCGGCGCCATGGCGGGCGGCCGCCCCGCCGGCGGCCACGGCGCCCTCCCGCCGCGTGAGGGCGCCGGCCGCGGCAGCCGCGAAGAGGCGGGGCCGGCCGGCGGGGCCCGGCCGCGCGGGCCCGCGGGCGGGGCTCGGCGCGGCCCCGCGGCGCTCGGAGGGCCGCCGCCGCTGCTGCAGATCGCTCCGATGATGGACGTCACCTACAAGGACCCCCGGGCATCCAAGTCGAAGGTCAGGGGCGGAGACAGGTACCCCTTTCTACAGCTACACCCTTCCCTCGTGTCCCCCTTCTTGGACCTCCTGGGGGGCCCTCGTCGCCACCAGCGGAATCGCCTCGACATTCGGGTCAGAACGCACCCCGGGAGAGGCTTCGGGCATCCAAGTCGGAGGGGGAGCGTATCCCCTGAGATCCTGGCGCTGCAGTTTTTCACGACGGGCATGTTCGCGCTTTTTCGGGCCCGGGACCCTCATAGATCGATCCGGCTCGAAACATGTCGCAGAAAGATGGGGTCTGAGACTCCGGTCGTGATCCTTTGCGATGTTGCAGCTTTTTCGCAACGTCGGATGTCATGGTACGGGCTGACCGAGGACTGGTCGAGATCGGTTCGGGGAGGGTGCCCTGGTGCTCTTCGTGCCTGTGGGGTGCTCTTGTTTGCATGCTGGGGAGGGTACTTGGCCAGTGGAGGGTCTCATGGTCTTGAAGCATGTTATCAAAATGGGCTTGCCCTATACGAGTCCTACTTCATAATAGTTATTGGTCTTTATCTCGCCCCCCCCTTTTTCCAATGGCACCCCCCCTTATTTCCAATGGCACCCCCCTCCCCCCCTTTTTTCCGATGGCACCCCCCTTATTTCCAATGGCACCCCCAGCTATTTCCAATGGCGAGTCCGATGGATTCCTATGGATTCATATGAGTCATATGCTTGCTTGCTCTTGCGTGCTTGCTCTCGCTTGCTTGCTCGTGCCATCCCTTGCTTGCTTGCACTTGATCGCTGGTTCTTGCTTGCTTGTTCTTGCTTGCTTGTTCTTGCTCGCTTGCTCTTGCTTGCTTCCGCTCGCTTGCTTGATTTTGCTCCTCCTTTCCTCCTCCCGTCCTGCTCCCGTCCTTCTTTCGTCCTCCTCCTATCCTCCTCTCGTCCTCCTCCTGTCCTCCTATCTATTTGGAGTCAACGCTGGCTGATACTATGTTGTCCCAGGTTCGACCGTATACCGACATGGCTGCTCGTCCTGGAGAGCCTCGTCGCCACGGCTGGATTCTCCTCGCGATTCTGGTCCGAACGCTCCCCGGACAGGGGTCCGGGGAGTAGCGGTACCGGCACCTTTCCGCCCCGTCTCCTCCAAGGTCTCGAACAGATCGAGGCGGAGGCCCTTCGTCATCTGTTTTCGGTTCATCTGCGGGCCCTCGCCTGGCCCCATGGGGACCGTCGCGAGCGACTCGCGCAGGATGAAGAGCCGGCTAATGGGAGAGGGTCGGGCCTTCTGTCGGGTATGGCCAGGACCCCGGGTAAGGGGACCCGGTTAGTGGTAGGGCCCGGAGCCTTTGAATTGGCCAGAATCACTAAACCAGGTTTGCCATAGCTTGTGTTTTTTCGGGTGACGGTAGTTCCGGTTAGTGGAAATGGGACGGGGGGGCGCCCCCGGTACAGATCACTAAACCAGGTTCCTTTAAACCCAGTTCTACCAACGCCCGATTCTGAGGCCCCCGAATGGAGCAGAAGCAAGACTCCAAGATGCCGCATAGACACCACAGAGCATGTGAAGATACACCACCACCACTGCTTGGCCAGGGCTATCCCCAGGCCCTCCCAGCCTGAGCCGAGCGGGCCACCATGGACGCCGCCCACGGGGACCGCTGGAGGAGACGCCCGTGCCCCCTCGCGCCGCGAGCCGATCACTAGTTTTTTTTACCGACTGCACATATGTTTGTAGATGTACTCACGTGCGCGTAGGTATTGGCTGGAGAACAGTGTTTGTTCTTTTGGGATGTTCGGCCTTTGGGACCCCCTGGGCCGTCGAGAACGAATCGGGATGAAGCACCGGCCCTACGGGGAAAGGGTATATGGACCTCGGAGGTTCAACGCTGCGACACAAACATCGCATTGTCGGAGGTCCTGGACTGTGCCCGACCGGTGGTCTGTCTCCTCCTGTCGTCCCCCTTCCTTCGCCCCCATCCCTTGCTCGCTCCTCGGCTCCTCGCTCTCCGGCCAGCGTCTAATCCCGGCCTGGCCCGCTTCTCTCCGTCGGCCCGCCCCGTGGTCCGAACGAGAGTCGCGGCGGCCCGCATTGCCACGCTGGCGAATATCGTCGGGGTGGATCTTCTCTTCGAGTGACGAACAAACGAACGAGCAGCACACACACACGCACCCATACCCATAGCTGGGTCGTTGGGAGGAGGGATTGGCTATGGGTTTGGGTGCGGGTTGGGGGACGCTTCCGTTCGAGCAGGGAACCCCGTGACAACACGCACGATAGCCCTCTATGGGTACGGTAGGTTCGCGTCGTGTCGACTGGCGGCGACCCCGCCGCTGGCGTTCAACGTTGAACGCCGCTGGCGACCCAGAGTCGGTCGATGTTGAACGATCTGACGTTTCGGAAAGGCCCGGACGTTCAAGCTTCAACGACCCCTGCGATGTCAGGAGCCAGCGCCGAATCGGCACGACGCCAACCTGCCGTATGGGTGTGTGCTGTTCGCTCGTCACTGTGTCTGCACGCACCCCTCTGCGGGAGGCACGGATGCACCACCCCCGCGCCTGCCGAGGCCCGGCCTTGGCGCGTGTGGCCCCTCGCGGCCCGAGCCGCGTCGGCGCGTGCAGCATGCCAGGGCCCCGGGTGGCCCTTGCCAGGCGCGGTGGTAACAGCGGGGGGGCTAACCTCGGGAGGTCTGCAGATTCAAGGACCCCCCCCCTGCGTCTCTCGGCGGGGAATTCACTCCGGCCCTCCTGCTGCCCTCTTCTTCCTGCTCCTCCTCGTAGTCGTAGTTGTCGTAGTCGTCGTCGTCGTCGTCGTCGTCGTCGTCGTCGTCGTCGTCGTCGTCGTCGTCGTCGTCGTCGTCGTCGTCGTTGCGCGGCGGGTGCCGCGGAGAAATAGTTTTTCCATGATTGGCGGGGCTCCAGTCCGTCAAAAAGAGCGTCGAAAGGAGATTTAGTTTCCAATGTTGGGGGGGGATCTCAAGACTTCTCAAGGTTAGAGTGTAAGGGCTTTCTACGGAAGGACTTCCGGCAGTTCATGCGCATTCTCACCCGCCACGCGCAGCTCTGGACCGAGATGTGGGTAGACAACACCCTCTGCCACGCGACGCGCGTGGACGGGTTCCTCGACTTCGGGGAGAACGAACACCCGATTGTTTGCCAGCTCGGCGGCAGCGTCCCGCAGTCCCTTGCCCAGGCCTCCGAGATCGTCCAGTCGTGGGGATACGATGAGATCAATCTTAACTGCGGATGCCCCTCAGACCGCGTGAGCGGCAAGGGCGAGTTCGGCGCCGCGCTCATGCGGAAGCCGGAGGTCGTTCGAGACTGCATCCGGGCCATGACGGCCCGCGTGGAGCTCCCCGTCACCGTGAAGTGCCGCTTGGGCGTCGACGACGAGGACACCCCTGAGTTCACGTCCAACTTCGTGCGCGTGGTCGCGGAGGCTGGCGTCAAGCACTTCATCATCCACGCTCGCAAGTGCATCCTGAAAGGGCTGACCCCGGAGCAGAACCGCAAGATACCCCCGCTCATGTACGACCGCGTCTTCCGCCTCTGCGAGGAGTTCCCTGAGCTGAACTTTACGCTCAACGGCGGGGTCAACAGCCTCGAGGAGGTGCACGACATCCTGCGGGGCGCGCCGCCCAGCTCGGGTGTTGCTATAGAAGTGCCCCTGGCCCCAGGATTTCCCAGGAGGTCCCCACGGCCGGAGCACCCCTCACGAGGCCCACAGGGGCCCGGGGGCTCGAACAGTTGTCAGCAGAAAGCCCGGAGCACCCCTCACGAGGCCCGGAGGGGGCCCAGGAGCTCGAACCACTTTTGGCGAGAAGCCTGGAGCACCGAAGGGCCCGGGCCGCCTCCAGCAACCCCCGACCAACCTCCTCGGCGTGATGATCGGGCGCGCCGCGTACGGCAACCCGTGCATCCTCGCGGACGTGGACAGGGCCATCTTTGGGCAGGCCGGTGGCACGGCGAACAAGGCGAGCTATAGCCCAGGCCTTCGCAGGCCTCCGCGCACTTGTCGAAGAGGGGATCGGCTACAGAATTGAGGCACCCCCAAATTTATTGTTCCGCCGAGTCCAAGGAACGCATGTGGAATGCTCGTGCAGATGCGAGCATTCTGCGTATTTGTTTTCGCAGGTTCTACGAACAGAAGTTCTGGGGTAAGTCAATTCTGCAGTCGATCCCCTACTCGAACTTTCTGGGTCGTAGCGCGTGGGGGCGGTGCCGGAGATGCTTTAATGTTTTTGTTCTAGACTCGGGCAAGGTTCCTTGTACGGCATTCCGCCCCCCTCCACCCCCCCTCGGCCTTTCCAGGCAGCGCTGAGTCGAGAAGGCGTGCAAGTCAGCTCCGACCCGCGCGAAGTCAAGAGTTCCAGGCCCAGCGCCGACCGAAGAGCTTCGCGCGGACTTGTGAAAGATTAGTGATTTATGCAATTTTTCTCGTCCTCCCAGATGGGGTCAGAGGATCGCGGTGCATCAGCGATGCTGAGCGATCCTCGGAAGACACCCGAGAGCCCCGCGCACAAGAGGCCTCATCATGGCGGGGCTGGGACGAGGATATATCCTTTCCAGAGCGTTCCAGAACGCTCTCGGAGCGTTCCGGAACGCTCCGAGGAGGCCGCGACGCCCGACGGAGCCGCCGGATCTGAGAGACTCGCATCATCCCCACCCGATCTGTATCCTCGTCCCGGCTCCGCCTTGCCGCATCATGCACGCGGCCCTCTGCGACGCCGCGCACTCTCTGCCGTGCACGCGCGGCCTGCAGCGGCCCCCCGCGGGCAGCCCGTCGACCCGGCGGGCCCCGGCCGGGCCCCAGGGCCGCCCAAACTCGGCGCGGGAGGAAGAGCCCGGCCCGATCTCTGGCCAGGGATATCGACGGCATGAGAAATCAGGGCGTCGGGGATCTGGGCTCGCTGGAGTCAGATCACGGTCGGGGAGGCTCTTGGTCGGCGCGGGATGAAGAGCCCGGCCCGATCTCTGGCCAGGGATATCGACGGCATGAAAAATCAGGGCGTCGGGGATCTGGGCTCGCTGGAGTCAGATCACGGTCGGGGAGGCTCGTGGCCACCTTCGCCAACCTGGGAGCCCTCCAGACCCGGGGGCCGGACCTGGCCCCGGACCCCGGGTGCGATCCCCTCCGCCGCCCGCAGGTTCTGCAGGCCAGAGACGTCAGTCCCGGTTGCTTCACTTTCCGGACCGGGGCCAGTTGGATTGTTGCTACCTCCCGCTGAATGCAGGGTGCCCAGTCCCCCAGGGACAATGAACAAAATCATGGCGGGGGGTGTTTCCTGATGTTCGGCCTCCGGGAGCCCTCGCCGGGCCTCGGGACCGTCAAAAAGCGATTCGGGATGGAAAACCGGCCCAGGGAAAGGGGTCCAGACCTTTGGGGGTCAACGTTAAGGAAAAAATCATCACGTCTGGGGTCTGGGTGGGACGCTCGGAGGAAGAAACGTTTGTGGACCCGGATCCATTGTTGATGGCCCTCGGTGGGGGCTTGGTAAGTAAGGGGCCCCAGAGGCTGAAGTCCAGGAGCAACGCGCGTGGGGGTCGGAGCGAGCGGCCGACAAAGGAGGGAAGAGGGGCCGAGCAGTTGACGCGAGAGCAGCTATGACACGGCGAAGTAGGACAAGGACGAGAACGAGTGCAGCAGGTCGAGGAAGGAGGGTGGCGGTCATCTGCCAGTGGCACGCTGGAAAAGCAGCGCGGCCCGCGCCATGTCGCTCTGGCGCTCCAAAGGGTCCGCTTTTGACAGCTTGTGCCTGGGAAGCGAGGGGCCGGTCTCGCCCACCGGGTTCTCGGCCTCCTGCCTGCGCCGCGCAGCGCGGGAGCTCAGCGCCCGCATGCGCGCCGCCAGGTCTGCTGAACTCGCGGGGGTGGCAACTGGAGCTACTTTAGATGTGCGGTGGGCGTCCTTCTGTTGGGCCCCCCCCCAGCAGCCTTCGAAAGTGGCGACGGTTTCGCAGATCTCAGCTTCCCAAGTGATGGCCAGGTTTTATGGAAGTCTGCGTGCGGCCCTGCTCCGCTGGACCCCCCAGGAGGCCTCGCAGATCGCAGCCCCCCAGGGCCGGCAAAGTTTGACTTAGCTCTGCTCGGGGCCTTCTTCCGCATGAACCCAGACTTCGAAAGTGGAGTTTTTTTTTCTCTATTGTCGCAGATCGCAGTCCCCCGCGGATGGCGAGGTCTAATTTTGGTGCGCGTGGGATGCCACTCCCGCTGGAACCCATGCGGCCTTCGAGCCGACAGTTCCGCAGATCGCATCCCCGCGTGAATGGCAGGATCTACTTCAGGTCTGCGCGGGTCTTTCCTCAGCTGGACTCCCCGGCAGCTTTCGAAAATGGTGACGGCATCGCAAATTGCAGCTCCCCGTGGATGGCGAGGTAACGTGCCAGGTAAAGGGCAGGAGAGAAAAAGGGGAGCGAAGAAGCGAAAAGGAATGCGGGAGAAAGAGGTCGCGACCGAAATGCTGTTTCCAAGAAAGAGCACCCAACGCAGGAGGGTTGAGAAAAACAAGTCGTCGGACCCAGTGAGAACCCAGATCTCCAACGTGGTTATACTGCAACGCCCAAAGGTCTGGAGCCCTTCCCCAGGACTGGATGCCTATCGTGAATAGTTTTTGTTGACGGCCCAGGGATCCGGTGGAGGGCTCCCGGGTGGCGAAGATGGCCAAAAACCTCTGGCCGCGATCTTTCTCCAAGGAGGGCTCCCCCCACGTCGTGGTTTGTGTCATACCGTCGGCTTTCAAAGATCTCGACACACTCCCTGGGACCGGCTTCTGACCCCGAGACTGCCTCAGTGCCCCCAGAGGCCGAAAAGCTGGATCCGCCTTCCGCCGTGATGTTGCTCGTGACTGGCCCGGGGCCCTGTGTGGGGCCGTCGTGGGGCCGTCGCGGCGTTGTCTTGGGCCGTCGAAGGGCTTCCTATAAGGCCGTCTGGGGTGCCACGAGAGGCTCTCTTGGGCCGTCTTGGGGCCGCCTTCGATGCCTTTTTGGGGGCCTGGCGTGTGGGCCTGGGCGAGAAGGCTAGTGGGGATCGCCCACCACCCTGATGGTCCGCTACCGAAAATTTCCGGTAGCGCTCCGCAGAGATCGGTCGCTACCGAAATACCGAAATGTAGCGCCCAATACCGGTATCAGAGCGTTCTGAAATCCGCTATTTCAACGCCCTCAAACGAAGATCCGGTCGCTACCGAAATTCGGGGTGCGTCGAAATCGCTACCGAAAATTTCCGGTACCAGACCATCTGGGCAGACCTCGTGAGGCCACCAACCCGCCGTCCGCGGGCAGCCGGCACGCCGTCCTCTCCGCGTACTGCGACTACCTGGACGCGGAGCACCCGCCCGGAGGCCCCGCGGCCTCGGCGCCCGGCTCGGGCCCGGTGCTCGGCATCGTGGAACCGATCCGTACCCCCTCCCCCTGGCAGGCCCTGTCCTCCTCCTCCTCCTCCTCCTCCTCCTCCTCCTCCTCCTCCTCCTCGTCCTCCTCCTCCTCCTCCTCCTCCTTCTCCTCCTCCTCCTCCTCCTCCTCGTCCTCGTCCTCCTCCTCGTCCTCCTCCTCGTCCTCCTCCTCCTCCTCGGCGGGGTCCGCCGAGGTGGGCTCCAGCAGCCTGGAGGGCACCCGCGCGCTCGGCACTGCCGGTGGGGCCGGACGAAAGGGGGGGATAGGGAAAGGGGGGGTTACGAAACCTGCTGCGTGCAGCTGGCTTCGGCCCCACCGAGGGGCCCATTCCTCGATATCTGCTGCATGCAGTTGGTTTCGGCCCCACCGAGGGGCCCATTCCTCGATACATAGCCGCCTCCGTCTCCGGGAGGCGCCGGGAAAATCAGCGACGCGAGCCGATTCTCCCACCCCCCTTTGCTATCCCCCCCATTTCGCCCGGCCCGACCCATTCATATGCAGGGGGGTAAGTCGGCCACTGGGGCTGGGGCCACGCCAGTGGGGACATGGGTCGGTGAAACGATGCTCAGGTGCAGGGGGCGCTGAAGCCCGTGCTGGGCGTCTTTAACGGGGCCCGCGGGAGCCGGGGGACGGAACATGCCAGAGCGCTGAAACGAGGATTGTTGGAATAAGGGCCACTTCGGGCCCACCGGGCCTACTAAAGTGCCACTTCAGGCCGCTCTGATGCAGGGAAGGCGCCGAAGCCCGTGCTTGGCATCTCCCTCGGGGCCCGCGGGAGCTCCAGGACCCAGAGCTCCGACGACGCGGTCCGTTCCGTGCAGAAGTTGTTTTGCTTTCGGCCCCTGGGGCCCTGGTTCTCGGGCGCCGGGGGCGCGGCGGGCACGAAGCGCGGCGGCGGCAGGAGCCTGGAGGAGGCGGCCGCGGAGGGGGAGAAGGAGGGCGAGAGCGCCCGACCGCCGAGAGTGGGCGGGCGAGGGGGGGCGGGTGGCCCTGCAAAACGGGATGCGGAAAAGATAAAAAAGAGGGTAGAGGGGGAGGAGGAGGAGGAGGAGGAGGAGGAAGGAGGGGGAGGAGGAGGAGGAGGAGGAGGAGGGAGGGAGGAGAGGAGGAGGAGGAGCAGGAGGAGGAGGAGCAGAGGAGGAGGAGGAGGAGGAGGAGGTGGTGGGGGCCACATGTCGACCTCGGGAGGGGCTCCGGTGTGCCGGCCGCGCTCGGGGGCCCAGGTCGGCGCCGTCGTGGCCGGGAGAGCCCCTCCGTTGCCGCGTGCCGCGCTCCTCGCGGCAGCGGGGGGGACCCGTAGGCTGTGGGCCGCAGGAGCTTCACCGCCCGGCCGCTCCTGGCGCGCTCCGCTTGGGCGCGCCAGGAGCGGCCCCTTTGGGAGGGGCCCGGCGCCGAGGCCAGACGTCCGCGTGGCGCTCCGAAGGTCTGTGGTTCTGCCATGGTTTTCTTCCCGTATACCCTGCGGGAGAGCCCTCCTTCACCAATGCTGGATTCTCCGTTCGAAGTCCGAGTCAGAACGCACCCCGGGAGAGGTCCAGGAAGCGGCGGTATAAGTATTTTTGAGCCCCCCCCCCAGGAACAAGATCTTGCGGCAGGGTATCGACGCCCTCGCACACGACGCCGCCGCGCGCGCGCAGGCAGCTGGGCGCGCACACGGCTTCACTGTGCGGCGCAGATCTCGAACGATCGAAGGGTTGCGGCGGTGAGACGCGCGCACGCGCACGCACGCGCAGCGATGATCTTTGTTTGCTCTGGCGGCACACGGCAGCACTCTCGGTCACGCTGCTTTGTGCCCCTGTTTTTGAGCGGGTTTGAGCCCCATCCCTATGGATGCTTGCATGTTCTCATCAGGCTCAGGTGCACGGGGAATTGATTTCGGTGTCGGTGCGTGCCGCACGTGCGGGCGAGGCCAGGCGGAGCTGCGCAAGTGCGTCTTCTATAGTAGTGGCCGGGTCAGACAAAAGTGAGTCGCCCTCGCGTCGGCCGCGGCGCGGGCTTGGCCTGACAGGTTCTCCCAATGGTTGTCCCGATGGTTGTTCCGATGGTTGTCTCGATGGTTGTCCCGACGGTTATTCTGATGGGTGTCCTGATGGTTGTCATGATGGTCGTCCCGATGTTGCGAGGCCACCACGCAAGAAATGATCCATGCGGGGCAACTGCACAGAATAAATCACCCTCTGCATCAAACATTTGTTTGGTGAAGCTACGCGTATGCATGAACAAACCCCACCTGGCCGTCACATATGTTAACAGGTGCGCCTTGTTAGGAGCACCCTGCCGAACAACAACTAATGACAATGCAATGTGAACCATTGAATAAGCGACCGACACCTATGAAGACACCCATGGCAAGCAATTCAAACGCAGTGGTACATATGAGAACCGTGAAACCCAATGCGAGCAAGGACTGGCATCCTTGTACAACCAAGAGAGACCCATGTTATCACCGTGCAACTTGGAGAGCTAGGCAAACACAATGTAGAACTATCGATGGACATAGATCGATAGACGCTGTGGCCGATCCATGGTAAGATCGGTAATAGGTGAGGTTGGTTGATCAATGATAGATGGATGCACCGCTGGTTGTCCCTCTCGTAGAATCAAGGGCATGCTACCCAATAGTAGGATTCTGGATAGTGCGACGCATGCACCAATCGTGACGACAGTTGGTAGTCAACACCACATGATAAATTATAAGCGTAGACACCTCAAGCGCCATGCGCCCGAGGAAGTCCTGGTGGCTCAGGGTTCTACAACCATCATCAGACTTGTGAAGAGGCATTGTCTTTCCACATGGTGCCCAGAATTGAAGTCATGCTTGTCGATTCGCGTATTATGTTATATGGAGATATATGAACAGTTTGGCAACCGTGAACATCTGCATGTATCCATTGTGATGCTTCACTGTGCTTCCGTTCGTGGGTTGCGTTGTCCGTCCAAGGCAAAGCAAACAGTGGCCCAATCCCCCCCCCTCGCAACCACATCCCCCTCAACGAGAGGGTATTGTAGAAATGATTTCCCGAGCGGCAGTGTTCCCCCGATTGGGGCTCTCGCGGGCCGCTTCCGGGACGTTCCTCCTGGCAGCAGCCCAGCTGCGTAAGCAAAGCAGCGGCCCTCGTGGAGGCCTCCCGGCCCGTCCGAGGACGGCCCCCGTCCTCTATTGAGGAGGAGGAAGGAGGAGGAGAAGGTGGAGGAGGAGGAGAAGGAGGAGGAGGAGGAGGAGAAGGAGGAGGAGGAGGGGCAGGAGGAGGACCAGTGTGAATCCAAGAGTCATCAACGATGTTTGCATCAACCCTCCCTCCAAGCCCCCTCCTTCATAGGCCCCATACGCGGGTTAATATCCCACTGAGAGAATTGCGTCGTTGGAAGGCAACCGTTTGAAGATCCCGAAGCATGCCCAAACATTGTTCTCGGGACTCCAAAGCCACTGGTTAACCTGACTGTTGCGTTTTGACGATCCTGATTCGCACCAGGACGCCATTACTGGGACGTCAACACCGCGAATTAACGTTACTGTTACACCCTCATAGTCCTGAATCTTTCCAAACAACTATTTCTGGTACGCTGACCATGGGAATCCGTGAAACTCTTGCAAGTGCTGAAAAAGAAACGTGCGCGGCGCCAGGGCGAGAGCCACACTTTGAAAACGAACTGCCCTCAACCCGTGAAGCCCTTGCAATTTCTTATTAATGGAATGCGTGCGGCGCTGAGGCGGGAGCCACAATTTGAAAACGAGCCGTCTTCAATCCGTGAAACTCTTGCATTTCTTTGAAACGAAGGGTGCGCGACGCTAAGGCGAGGGCCACCCTTTGAAAACGACCTGCCCGCAATCCGTGAAGCTTTTGCACATGTTACAGCGAATGTGCGCGACGCTAAGGCACGAGCCACATTTTGAAAACGACCCGTCCTCCATCTGTGAAGCTGTTGCCGAGGTTCAAGCTTGAGGGTCACAGATGGTGAGGAAGTCTCAGGCGAAACGCTTGGCCCACCCTTTCGACCAGCCTCGGGGTGCGACATGGAGATTGTATTTGTAAGGGAAAAAAACCGAGGAGAGGGAGAAGGAGGAGGCTCCCCCCCCCCCCCTCTCCCTCTGGGCCCGCCCGATCGAGAGCAACGCGAAATCCAGGCATCCGACGATGTTCTGGTGGTCGGTCCCTGACTTTCTCCTCCGCCTACTCTACCTCCCCCTCCTCCTCCTCCTCCTCCTCCTGCTCCTCCTCCTTCTCCTCCGCCTCCTCCTCCTCACCCTCCTCACCCTCCTCGCCCTTCTTTTCCTCCTCCTCACCCTCCGCCTCCTCCTACCCCTCCGCCTCCTCCCCCTCCTCCTCCTCCTGCTCCTCCTCCTCCTCCTCCTCTTTCCCCTCCGCCTCCTCCTCTTCCTCCCTGGGATCAGGGCGCCGCACTTCTGTTTCACAGCGGACGGGTTCGCCCAATGGCGGGCCTCAGGGGCCGGCCTAGATCGAGCTTGCTTGCAAAATCGCGCAGAACTGGGGATTTAGCCGCACGGGGATAGGACGAGGATAAATCCGTTCTAGAGCTTTCCAGGACGGGTTCCGAGACATCTTCCAGATCCGCCGGATCTCAGATATTCTCGACTCATCCTCAGCCGAATGTATCTTCGTCCTGGCCTCGTCTTATCCAGGGCTCTGGTCCACATTTGTCGTGACAGTGCAATTTTGGTCGCAGCGTCGGATCTTATGGATGCGCGGCCCCAGATGTTCCGACCCCTCGCCCCCGGGGTAGTGTTTTGCCCCAGACGCGTTCTTGATGGTCCCTTGGCCAGAGAGCGGGCCCGAAGGCAAAACTCGACGAGAGCCTCCAGGCCGAATTTTCCGAACTCGCACCGTCGGAGATGTGGGCGCTCCAGGCCAGAACTTTGCCCTCTGGAGCCCGTGCGGTCCGACTCTGGGCACCCCCGTGGGACGCAGCCCTCGGAGAGGCGCGGCTGCCGGAGAGCACCCTGGGGCGACAGTTGGAGCCTCTGGGATCGGCGGCGAGCGAGGGGGGGCAGTGAGAAGGAGAAGGCCTTCTCGGAAGGCGGCGGGACTCCTCAGAAGCCGCCGCGTCTTCTGAGAAGTCTTCTGTGTCTTTTTTCGGCGGAGGTTCAGAAGACCTCTCAGAAGGCCGGTTCACTTCCGAGCCATCTGAGAAGGCCCGCCCCTTCTCTCAGGCGATCGCAAACATGGATAAAGGGGGCGTGGATTAACAACGGGTCCCGTTTCCATAGGAAATCACGGACTCCCGCCGCCGAGCGAGGCGGAACGGGCCGCATTTTGGGGAGGGCACCTCCCCCGATCCATGGATCGCCAATCCATGGATCGCCAATCCATGTCTGCGCGCCCCCGACCCTCGCCGCCGACAGGAGCCAGCGCAAGCTTCCCCAAGCTTCCCCCCCTCGGAGGGAGGAGAAGCGATACCAACACCGCCAGGGGGCCCACCGCCAGCGAGGAGGTCCGCGACGCTTCTCCGAGCTGGAGGCTGGGGATGCCTCGAGCGAGAGGGGGGCACCACACCACCAGGGAGCTCCCCCCTTGCCTCCTCGCACCTCCTCGCCCTGCCTTTCTCTTGGCATCGCTCGGACGTGTGCATTTTCCCTTCGTCGAGGACCATCGAGGAGCATCCTTGATCATTTGGCGAAAAAAACACGCACGAAACCGAAAAAAGCACAGGGAATGGACGTCCGAGCGATGGCAGGTTCCTTGCTCCTGCCCTTTCCGCCCCCGCCCGCCGCGCCGCACCGCGAGCAGGGCCCGGGGCACATCCTGCGGCGCGTGCTCGCGATGCTGGAGGCCGACGCCGGCGCGGCCCAGGCCCTGCACGCGCCCCTGGCCCTGGCGGGGCAGCGGGCGGGGGCGTGCGAGGAGCGGGGCCCCCGGAAGGGAGGGCGAGGAGGTCCTCCTCCTCCTCCTCCTCCTCCTCCTCCTCCTCCTCCTCCTCCTCCTCACCCCGCTCCTCCTCCTCCTCCTCCTCCTCCTCCTCCTCCTCCTCCTCCTCGTGCAGAGGGGGGGGGTACAGTCAACCCGCATAGTAAGGATGGGCAGCCTTCCCAAGGGTGCCCTCGGCCCCTCCTCGGTCCATCCTCGGCCACTTCCGTTGGCCGCGCCCTGGTCGAGAAGCTGCGAAATGGGTTCCCAAGGCCCTTGCATCCTTATCGCGCATCCTTCCTATACGGGTTGACTGTAGGGGGATGGTGGGAAGGCCTCTCAGAAGCACCCTTGCTTCTTATAGAGGGCGCGGGCCTTGTCTGCAGATGTAGGGCCGGCCGGCCCTTTCTGAGAAGCAGCCTCCGCCTTCCCTCCTCCCCCTACCCCCTTGTGCGCGCCGCCAACCGAAGCAGGGTGGCGGCGGACATCGTGGTGACCTGCACCCACAGACCTCCTCGCGTTGTCCCGGCAGGTTTACGTTATTTTCTGCCTCCAGGGGCTTTCGCCGGGCCTCGGGAGCGTCAAAAAATCGATTCAGGACGACAAACTGGTCCCCGGGAAGGGGTCCAGACCTCTTGGGGTCGACGTTGTGAAGAAGTCACGACGTCGGGGGTCTGGGCCCTCAACGGCCTCACCCCGCGCGGTTCGTCACCCGAAAAGTGCTGGGACCTCGGAGGCCCCAGGCGCTCGAGGCACCCTCAGAGAGCGGCTCGAGTCCCAAAACCGCGCGGCGAACCCGATCCTGGGCCGCCCTCAGGGTCTCCGTCAGGTGGCATGTCGAGGACAGCTTATAGCGGCTCGGGGATGCCAGCTCGCAGTACCTGCCAGCGCCGCCTCGAAGTGGGCGGAACAAAGAGACGCGCGAGGTGACCCCGAATCCCCACTAACCCACCGGTCAACACAACATCCTCAGACCCCCGACGTCGTGATTTTTTTCAAACAGTCGACTCCCGGGGACCGTTTTGTCATCCTGAGTAGTTTTTTGATGCTCCCCGGGCCTGGAGAGGGCCCTTGAAAATAGTGTTAAGTCGGGCCTGTCCCCTAGAGGGGGACTTTCGATGAAAAATAAAAGAATACCCCAACAATAGCCAAAAAATAGTCCAAAAATAGTCCGGGGATTATTTTTTGAGCATTTGTTGACCTCTTTGGGGTATTTTGGGGGTATTTTTTAATTTTTCATCGAAGCTCCCCCTGCAGGGGGACAGGCCCGACATGAAAATAGTGCAGAGTCTCCCGTCGTGTTTTTGCCGCAGCGCGAGGAGGTCTGCGTCTGCGGGGCCCCGAGGAGGACCGCGGCGGCCTCGCCGGCTCGCCGCCCGACGCCCCGGAGCTGTGCGCGGCAGCCGCCGCGCAGCCGCCAGGCCCCAGCGGCGGCGCCCCGGGCCGCCAGGGCTGCGAGCGGCAGGCTGCTCTTGCGGGCGCCGGCGGCGGCGGGCGCGAGGAGATCGGGTGATGTCGGGCGTGTCCCCCGACAGGGGGATATTCTATGAAAAATAAAATAACCCAAAAGTACTCCCAAAAACTTGAAAAATAGTCCCCAGGCTATTTTTTTTATTTATAAAAAAAGGTATCGTCGAAAATCCCCCTATAGGGGGACGGGCCCGACGTAAAGATCGGGGGCAGCGTCAATCTACGCCAGATCCAGGAGGAGTTTCCTCCTCCTCCTCCTCCTCCTCCTCCTCCTCCTTGTCCTCCTCCTCCCCCTCCTCCATTTCTTTTCGTTAGTCCCCTGTCGCACCCCGAGGCAAGTTTTTTGGGCGGTCCGGGCGTTTAGCTTGAGACTTCCATACCATTTATGAGTCTGAAGCTCAGAAATTGGCAACAGTTTCACAAATTGATGGCGGGTGGTTTTCAAAATGTGGCTGTCGCCTGAGCGCGGCGCACATTCGGTTTACAAATGTGCAGCAGCTTCACGGATTGAGGGCGGGTGGTTTTCAAAACGTGGCTCTCGCCTCAGCGCGGTGCACATTCGTTTTTCAAAATTTGCAAGAGTTTCACGGGTTGAGGGCGGGTGGTTTTCAAAATGCGGCTCTCGTTTTAGCGCGGCGCACATTCGTTCTGCAAATTTGCAAGAGCTTCACGGATTAAAGGCGGGTGGTTTTCAAAATGTGTCTCTCGCCTTAGCACGGCGCACATTCGCTTTACAAATGTGCAAGAGTTTCACGGGTTGAGGCCAGGTGGTTTTCAAAGTGGGGCTCTCGCTTCAGCGCGGCGCACATTCGTTTTAAGCATTTGCAAGAGTTTGACGGTTCCCCATCATCAACGTACCAGAAATTGTTTGTTTGAAGGATTCAGGATTATGCGTGTGTAACAGTTACGTTGGTTCTTTGTGTTGAAGTCCTAGGACTGGCGTTCTGGCGCGATTCAGGATCGTCAAGACGCAACAGTCAGGTTGATCCGTGGCGATGGGATCCCGAGAACCATGTTACAGCATGCTGCAGGGTCTTCAAACTGGCGTCTTCCAAGGAGGCAGTTCCATCAATGGAAATGAACCGTTGTAGTGGCCTGTGGCAATGGAGCTTGGAGGGAGGGTTGATTCCAACATCGTTGATGATTCTTGGGTTTACACTGGTCCTCCTCCTCCTCCTCCTTCTCCTCCCTGCCCACTCATTATTGTCCTTGTCCTCCTCCGCGTCCACTCATCCTGGTGCTTGTCTTCCTCCGCGACCACTCATCCTTGTGGCCTCGCTGTGTGTCTACGCCGTTATGAAGTGGAAGCCCGTGCCAGGAAATATACATGTTTGCTGCAACATCTGAAGAAAAACCGTCAGTTTGTTTATACATATCTATACTTGTATCTGTATCGATATCTATATATATATACACACACGGAAAACGACGAAAACAAACAACGAACAAAAAACGCCATGAACATATTGTTGGCGCTCCGCGCGGGTTTCTTTGATCCGTGCTGGGCCCCCCCCCGGCGGCGCATTCGTTCGCCCCTGGCGCGCTCCGCGCGATAGGGGGGAGGGTCCAGCGCAGATTTCAGAAATCCGCGCGGAGCGCCAAAAATTTGTGTATGGAACTTGTTCTTCTTCTAACCCTGCTTTTTTCCAGGGTGCCTGGGTTTCTTTGGCTTCGACGGTTTTGCTACTGAACGCGTGACGTTCCCACGACATGTCGCCGATATCCAGGTCGATAATTCCCCCCATAAGCCGGCCCCCCCGTATTCCCAGAACTCCGATGTGAATTTTTAGGCAACGTGCACCCCGGAGTTCTCGACCCCTTCCCCAGGACCAGCTCTTCATGTCAGGCTGTTTTTTTATGGGCCCGGGGCCCAGGGAGGGGCCTCCCCTGTCTGTTTTTTACGCGCACTGCTTCGCCAAGCATGGAGAATTGCGCAGCGGAGTGCAGCAACGACGCCGACTGCCAACTTTGCGCAAGGATGCTCTTGCTACATCTTCGCCGCAGCACTGCGTCACATCTGCAGGACGTACTCCGCCGCGCGACTATGCGGACGATGGTGGTGACCATGAAGCTGCTGTGGTGTATGAGACAACTATCTCGTTTCCCGTCCACGGAGGGTACGGGCCCCCGTCGGCGACGCGTCGCCGTCATCCAGGTCAGCGATTTCCCCCTTCAGCCGGCCGCCTCGCGTCCCCGAAACTCCGACGCGATGTTTCGGCGAGGGCCATCAGAGGCTGAACGTAGCCAAGCACTTTCTGTCGTTATAACGTTCCTCCAGTTTCAGACCCCCGACGTCATGATCTTTCATGACGTCGGCCCCCAGTTGTCTCGACCCATTCCTGGTGCCTTCTTCTCACCCTGACTAGTTCGGGGCTCAGTCAGGGCCTCATAGCGAAAAACTCTTTTGTCGTGATTTTTGCATGATTCGAGGGGCTCTGATCGTCGGCGAGTGAGGGCGGAAAGTGAAAAGGAGAAGGCCTTCGCAGAAGGCGGCGGGGCTTCTAAGAAGCACCCGCGCCTCCTGAGAGGTTTTCCGCGTCTTCGGGGAAGGCTCAGGAGACTTCTCAGAAGGCCGGGGGATTCCCCAGCGTTCGGGGAAGGCTTTCTCCCTCTCATGACCCTCCCTCTACGCCTCGCCGCCGAGAAAACCGTCCGTTGTGGTTTTTCATGGCTCGAGGGGGTCTGGGTCGCGGGCGGCGTTCTCCCGCAATCCCCGGATTCCGCCCAAACCGTTCGGCCGTGCAGAAAAAAAAAAAAGGGTGGGGACTCTGGGATACACCCCCAGGGAGCTATTCGGGTGCACCCTGTGTCGAGGATGGCCGCGCCCTCATCGTATACACCAGGGTTGGGCCCCGAACTTCTTGTCCATTTGAAAACTCACAAGGCCTGGGATGGGGGTCGACAGATAGTCGACCAGCTGATCAAGAAACCTTCTCGATACAAGCTGGGCTAGCGTTTCTTGACCAGCTTGCCGGAAAGTTGGCCCAGACGCTCTCCTTTTTCCCAGCGCTCTCAGAAGCAGTTGGCCCAGGTTTGTCTTGAGCCATTTCCGGGAAGCTGGCCCAGATATATTGGAGTGATAAGTTGTCTGCCGCATGTCATAGATGGGCATCTTTCCCAAGGATGCCCGTGCATCCTTGCCCCTTCGGCCCGTCCTTAGCGACTCTTGCTGGTCGACCTCGTTCGAAAAACGCTAAGGTTGCTCTCCAAGGCCCTTGCATCCTTACCGCGCATTCTTATGATACGGGAAGACTGTATCCTGTATCCCCTGCTACTTGGGAAGCTGGCCCAGATTCCGAAGGCCTTACGGTCGGTACCGCCGAACCTGAAGACGATGGCGACGACGACGAGGAAGACGACGTGGAGGGACAGGGGGAAGGACGTGGAGGAAGCGGTGGAGCAGCAAGAGGAGGAACAAGATGCGAAGGAGGATGAGGAGGGCGAGAAAGAGCAGGGGGGAGACTTGGGTGGGGGGATTCAGCAGTAGGATGAAGAGGTCGAGCAGTTGGAGGAGAATGAGGAGTACGCGGAGGAGGGAGGAGGAGTGGCTGAAGGAGGAGGATGGGCATGGGGAGGTTGAGATGAATGCGATTTTGCGGCGCTCGGGTGTAAGATCACGCGGTAGAAGGGGGTGAGCAAGAAGAGGATAATGATGAGGATGATGAGGATGTTGAGCACTAGCATAGAAAAGAGCGGGATGCGGAATATGAAAAGTGGTTAGAGCGGGAAGAGCGGGAGGGTCAGGAGGAGCAGGATGTGAGAGCTTTGAAACATGAGAGGTGAGAAGCAGGAGGTTGTGGAGGAGGATGGGCGGGAGGCGGAAAGGAGGGAGTCGGGACAGGATAATGGTCAGTGGAAGGACCGTGAAGACGGTGCGGAGACGTAGGAGGACGGTGACGGGGTATTTGTGGTATTAACTGACGCATTCCGTTAGGGAAATCGATTGGCCGGCGGACTCGGGGTGGGTGTTGGGATTGGGTGACAGAGGGCACTTGCTTCGCCTACGGCACGTTGTTTGTGTCCCCGCAGATGGTCTGGCGGACTCCTCTCTCCTCCCCCCCCCGCTTTTCCTCCTCCTCCTCCTCCTCCTCCAGCCCCCGCCCGAGAACAGGATGGGAGTCCGCCTGCGAGGGCCCCAGCCCTCCCACGCCGCCAGACGCTTCGCCTCGGCCGGGCGATGGCGGCTGCGCGGACGGCCAGGCATCACGCTGGCAGGTCCATGAGGGCACTGCCCCTGCTCGTGGGGGTCTTCAACCCGTTGAACGCCGTGGGGGCCAGGGCCGAGGACATCGCGGACGAGGCCAGCAACTTTGACGTGTTCGCGCTTGTGGGCACACAGTCCAGGGCGCCCCCAGGCTATTCGCATGGACTTCAGCCAGCAGCACAAGGAAGACTAGTTATTGATTCAGGCTGGGGTCAAGGAGTGTACACAAATCATTCGATTGGGTGCAGGCTCCTGTGGGGGAGGCGTTTCTCGAAATATCATTTTCGGAGAGTTTTCCCAACGCCTGCGCCACTGCAGGGACGAGTCTTGGCGGCCAGATGCAACAATGGACTGATGGACTTTGACGGCGATTGCGATGTACTTTCCACCGCGTCCGAAAACAGCCAAGGCAGGAGCGCACTACAGGGAGACTTGCATGCGCATGACACAGTGGCTGGACCAAGTGCTACTAACTACCCCGCACTCCTCGCTGCCGCTCATCCTGACGGATCTCAACGACGGCATTGGTATAGGTTCTTTGGCAAAGGATGGCTATGTCGGGGAGGCGGTCATCAGCGAAAGCAGCGCGACGAAGGAGTTCACGAAGGGGGCGGGGGCGACCATCAGAGATGTGCTGCGGAGGCATCACATGGCAGTCTACAGCGACAACTCTGAACCCACCTGGTTCGGCAACAAGGGATACGTGTCTCGCATCGACTACATCATGGGCCCTCTCTCGTGGAACATGCTTTGCCTAGGAGCACCCCACTACTCAGGATGGGGCGGCGGCTTCAGCTCATTCGACACCGTGACTTACGGGACCACGTCCCAGTGCATGCGCACCTATTATATGGCAGACTGGCCGTTTGCAACGATAATGACACAGAGCTTCGCCGTGAACGGTGGGATAGAGACGCACTTGTACATGCCCTGAGACACCGAGATAAAAAGCATGAGTTCTTGATACAATTGAATGGTTTCCTGAGAACAAACATGGAGGAGTGGGTTCGGCTCGGCTTGCAGAAGACACCTGACGGCATCTTCGCGTATCTAGAGAAGCACATGGTCAGAATTGGGCAGGACCACTTCAGTACGCCGCATTTCGTAGACGACACTTACAAGGAGCTCAGGGAGGCCCGTTTGGCGATTTTGCAACAGAGGCGTGACCTGCGAGAAGCGACGTGGGCATCTCAAGCTATTTTGGACGAGGTACAGGCACAACCCAAAGCTATTTCAAACAAGCGCGGCAGAGTCAGAGCGCGGGCACACCGGCAGACTCGCACGGCGATCGAGGAGGAGATCAATCAGCACTGGGAGGCGAGGAGATTTGCTCAGGCGTACCGTGCTACCATTAGGCTGGGGAACAATAGGACAGGCACTAAACGACGAGACCTTCGAGCTCTACCTCTTGCGAACCCGACGAAGGCCGAGTGGATGGATGCGCTCGAGCTTAATGGCAAAGATGGTGGAATGGGCGCAGTAGAGATTGCACCGCATCCACAAGTTCAGGAGGATGAGCTCGACTGTGAAGAACCACAAGACCAGTTGCCTAACACTCCCGACCCGTGGCTGTTTAGGGCAGGGGGAGAGGACGTGCCTGAGTTTCAAGATGATCACGCAACTGGTGCTTTTATTGAGGGCAGGGGATATATCATGATAATGAAGTGGTACTTGATACAGACGCCGAAGAGAAAAGCGTGCCCAGCTGGCTCACCGCCAGCAGAGCTGTTCTGGATGATGTTGCACCCACGGCGGGATGCTTTTCACAGCGGAGTGGGACACGATCTACATGACTCGGACAATAGCTACATTGAGGCTTGCTTGCACATGGCTTTCTAAAATCTGCGCAATTATCAGATCGCACCGCGGCGCGAAGAAAATGAGCAACCAGGACCAAAAGGACGGCGGCTACTGCATATTCTTCGTGTGCTGGGCAAAGGTTTTTTTCGCTAATTGTATCAAAGCTCGCCGCCCGCCGCCCTTGCCAGCTGAACATCGCGGATATGCTAGAAGGCGCAGACGAGAGACAGCAATTATGGCTTCCATGATTACATGCTACATGCTAAGGCAGTTGAAGTGCTCGTACGTCGACAGCTTCAAACATATGACAAAAAATGCATTTCCTTCGGTGGGATGGCAATACATGGAAGAGGCGGCTGCTGCCTTGGTACGAGACAAAGATTTACGGCTGGCTCATCAGAGAATTAGACAAGCGCAGGTACTTCTACATGCAGCAGAAGGTACACTTCACTTTAGACCGACGGAGGGAGGCCTCATGGGGGACCCATCCATGGTGCACTGATCCCCCAGAGCCTTTGCGAATGCCATAGAGCCGTGGATACAGCAGTGGAGACAGACAGGTAATGCGGACAAGGTGCTGGTGGTCAAGTGCCCGGTCACGCGACATGAAGTGGGCCTTGGTCTGCATTTGTACGCCGACGACATCAACAAAAAGATAGTACGTCACACTCCGAGTCAAAAAGAATATGTGAATCTGGACAAACTGCGTTGCAAGCTGCAGGGCTGCGACAAAATCATGGACGAACAGCTGCTCAAGATCGGATTGGTTCAGAACAAACCAAAGCAAGTCACTATCATTGCAATTCATGGCATTGGAAGTGGCATAGCGAGACGGGAACTTCGGCAACGGTATCAACGAAAGAAATGGGACGGACAGATAGTGGAGCAGGCACGGCACCTTGGTCCCATTCTAACACATATACAGCGTTTTTGCATCGAATTGGCGAAGAGAGTTGATGCAGCTAAAGCGGCATTCTACTGAATGGGATTTTTGTCTGGAGTGCCCAGCGTGGACCATGGAGGTGGAGACGCACTGCGCTGATTGGAAGAGTGGTTAATGCGGCGCTTACGGCGGTCGAGGCCTTCACCCCTTTCTCGGAAGCAGTGCGACGCGCTCGACGGGGTGATCGCCTCGCTGGCTAGGATTGCGATGAGAGGAGCAGCTTGCACGCGCAACGAGGACGGCACGGTGCGCTCGCTTACGAACAAAGAGGTTGGCACATTGGAAGATTCCCAGATCGGAGGTGGAGCTGCGGACTCGAAGGTTAAAGCGGCTGCAGCAGGCGGCCAGGGACAGGAACAACAGCGCCCAGTTCTTCGGGGCACTCTTCGGCACCATCTGCGGGCAGCAGCGGGGCACGGTGAACGTTGATGGCTCCATTTCTGTGCTGGCCCACCCTTGGGCGAAGCGGGTACAACAAGACGTTGGCTCGCTCATTCGGGTCTCGGACGAGGCCCGTGCACTGCAAGAGTTTGCTGGCCCGCAGATTGTGGCCTGGCGAAACGATCCGCACTTCAGAGAGGACTTCGTCCGCATTGATGTCAGCATTCTCCGAGCAAACGAATTCAGCAGAAACGTTCCGCCCCCAACATGCAAACCCTCTGCGCAGAAGAAAAACGATTTCGACGAAGAGAAGGTGATTCACGATGTGGAGGAGGAGTTTAAGTGCCAGGTGGGAGAGGACGGGAGGACATGTGGTAGGGTTTTCTATTCGAAACGGGCCCTTCGCACGCACGTTCGGCAAGCACGCAGCATCGTCAACATTTGCTCGTTTTACAATCCCACAGCTGTCACCGCACGTCGGCACTTATCTCGGGCTACTCAAAGAGGATAGTGCGCGGTCGATCCCG